AAAAAAATTTTAAAAATTAATTTTAAAAATATAAATTATAAAATAATTTTAATTATATTATTTAAACATTATAAATAGTTTTTTATAAATTTTTTATATTAAAATTTTTTTTTAATTTTTTTTTCTGTTTATAAAATATATATAATTTTATATATAAATTTTATAATGAATTTTTTAAAAGTTTTTTTTTTAGATTTGTAAATCTATAGTGTAATGGTTAACATTTCACAAGTCAGATTACAAAATATTGATTCAATTCTAGATAAAAGCAATTGAATAGAATCTATATGGTACCTGACATCATAACCTGTTATATGTTATTTTTTATAAGAAGCTATTTTACATGCTAATCCAGTAGACATTAAGATTGTGATCTTCAAAAAAAATATCATGACGCAATGATTATCTGGATAGTATTATAATAATCACCAGAAGCATGTCTATAGTAATTGAACAACATAATAAATCAAGAGATATGTATTTAACTTCCTTAATCAAGACTTCTCTTGCATTTGGGTATACAGACTGGACTGTATTCCATCTTAACCAAACCCTGATTTTTTTCTTTCAATAGTAATTAGAACTATATATGTATTCATATTTAATTCAAACATTTTTCAAAAATCATATTATGTTCATATTATCAAATAACAATTAGTAAGTAATTGGGAATCATATTTAATTCAGAATCGTACTGTCGATCAAATTTCCTTTTATGATAATAAGGAAATATATATAATTAGAACTATACATATTATTGAAATTTGTAGATTCTTGATACAATTAATGCAATTAATTGAGTCACTATTAAAATATATAAATAGTTGAGTCATGATACAATTATTTTTGAAAATTTTGGGAATTAAGTTAACAGAAAATAACTTATATCATATATATAGTTAGAACCCTGACCAGAATATTCCAATTCAGTACAGAGTCTAATTGGTTTGAAAAATAACTAGCTGCAGGTGGTGAGAAGTATTGCAGTCTCACAAAAGAAGCCATAGATTAGTGGGGATATAATTTAAGATTTGATAACAAGGTAAAGAGGCACTTGGACTAATCCTCTTAATCAAGTCACTTCTGGATAAAACTGAACCATATAGGTTAGATAGTTTAAACTAGTAATAGAATTTCTATATCCTATAGGTTCCTATCTAGTATCATATAGAAAATTATTAAAGGCAATAGGTTCCTAAGTGCTAGATATAAGGTGGAATGTGAAGGATAATTTGCATAGAGTATATAATATACTGACTTGTGTAAGTTCTAACACTGCAATTGTAATTGGTATAAGACACTTATCAATAAAAAACTTTGCAAATATTGCACTTTTACTTTAAAAAAAAAATAATTTTTTTTTGTAACTTTAAAACAAAATTTTATAATAAATTTATTAATAAATTATCAAATAAACTTTAATAAATAATTTTTAAATGTTTAAAAAATAGATAGTTAAATTTTTATATTATATTAATAAAATTTTTTATTAAATTATAATCAATTAAATTTTTCCAAAAGCAAGTATTCCATACTATATATTAATATAAATTTTTATCTTATTTTATTAATTAGTTGTTAAAATATTTCCAAAATAAAAATTGTTATATCGATACTGTCTAATTATTTTTGACTTATGTTATTATTTGAAATATTTAAACAAATTTATAATTTATATCTTATTATTTAAAGAATTTATAAAAATAAATATTTCTTATATATAATTAAAAAATTTAAAAAAAAATTTATGATTTTACAAATAAAAAATTATTATTATTATTATTTCATAATAGTAATATGTTTACTTTTAATTAATTTTGATATTAAATATAATAAAGAAAATTGTCAGTTTTTTCTATCAGTACTGTATATTTATTATAAATTATGTGTCATCTAATTAATAATTCTTGCTATAACAATAAATACAAACCAATTCTAGAATTATTAGTTTAACAAATGTTTGAACGAAATGCATCCAACTTTTTCTTTATTTAATATTTATTATAATTATTATTACTAATAGTATATATGTTTTTTTCTTAACTGTTACCTTTTGTAAACCTGTGATACTATCTATTTAATTTTTGCATATAGAACAATATATATGCCGATCGGTCCGTAGGTTGGGAAAGATTATCCACCGACATGGTGACCTCATCTGCTGAAATCGAAGATATTGTAGTATCATCTATGTGAAGCCATTCATTTTCGTCGCGAAGAATATCGGCTGTATAATGTCCACCAGTAGCAGATTTTCCGTGATGATATACAACTAAAAGAACGAAAGAAATTTATAGAGATACATAATGAATATGAAAGCGAAGAAGATAATTAAACTAACCACCAAAGAGCTGATAATCCACCGCGGTGCTCGGGCGCCTCCCGGGAGCTATCAACTCTGCAAAAGAGATTCCCATAAAGAATGTTAGTATGTGCGAAGAATACGTGCACGGATAATCATGAAAATTATTAGTATACCTGGCGGGATAGATAAGGTCGTCGAATAGCCAACATGCTTACTCAATTTTTGCGTGCCACCTACGTTATCATATAAAAATCTTTTCAGGTGAA